GGCGCGACGGGGCCGGGCAGGGGGGGCGACGGGGCCTGCAGGCGTGACGGGGCCCAGGAGCTGCGCTACGGGGTCCAGGAGGGGCGCTACAGGGCGAGGGGCGTAGCGGGGCCCGGGAGGGTCGCGACGGGGCTAGGGGGTCGCGACGGGGCCCAGGAGGGGCGCGGCAGGGCTAGGGGCACGACGGGGCCCAGGGGGTCGCCACGGGGCTAGGGGGTCGCGACGGGGCCCAGGAGGGGCGCGGCAGGGCTAGGGGCACGGCGGGGCCCAGGGGGGGGTCGCGACGGGGCTAGGGGGTCGCGACGGGGCCCAGGGGGTCGCGACGGGGCTAGAGGGTCGCGACGGGGCCCAGGAGGGGCGCGGCAGGGCTAGGGGTACGACGAGGCCCAGGGGGGTCGCGACGGGGCTGGGGGGGTCGCGACGGGGCCCAGGGGGTCGCGACGGGGCTAGGGGGTCGCGACGGGGCCCAGGAGGGGCGCGGCAGGGCTAGGGGCACGACGGAGCCCAGGGGGGGGTCGCGACGGAGCTAGGAGGTCGCGACGGGGCTAGGGGGTCGTGACGGGGCCCAGGAGGGGCGTGGCAGGGCTAGGGGCACGACGGGGCCCGGGGGGGAGGCGCGGCGGGGCCTAGCTAGGTGACAAGCGGAAGCGGTAGGTGGGGGATCCTAACCTACGCGTGATACCATATCAGAATGAGAGAAGTGAATCATTAGAGTGAGAGTACAGATGGATATACCTAAGTATTGTACCCTCTAAGAGGTGACCCTATACAGTCTATGCAAAAATAACAGATACAGATGTTTGACATATTCCTTCTTCCCACATCCAACCCAACCTAGCCCAGCTGTGTTCAGTGCTGTTTGACTAGCCCTTACCGTCATTTATGCTACATTTCACGTGTGTAACTTGGCACAGGGTTGACACGTAAACATTGCAGCAAAGGCGATTGGTACAGCACATGCGCCAGCCAATCACTGGCGTATTGTTTCTGTACTTCACTCACAGGCAGACAGGATTGGTTGTTGTTATTCCCACGCGAAATGCCAGCCAGCGCGAGATGCAGTGCTGACTGAGGACGCGTTTTGTACCTGAGGCGAGCCCCAAGGGAAGAATTCGGGGCATCAAATATAGGTACGGCGAGATCCCCTAAGCCAGCACTTTGGGTCATCTGGTCCGTCAAACTGATGCCCCGAAGTCCTGCATAGGGACTCCTCGAGTACGGAACGTGCCCAGTCGAAGTATTTCGGAGCAGAGCCTGGATGATTTTTTTGGCAGAACCCGGACGAGACATCCCAGTTTCCAGCCGACTGTACTGGGCAGATTTCGGCCCAAATCTCTACAAAGCTACACTTTTCAGCGTTCATTCAGCACAAGTCTTGGGCACGGAACTGTAGGGGTTGTGTATATGGCACGCGCCTAGAAAAAAAGTATGGTGCGATTTGGCATTCTTCTGGGATAAAGCACCACGTTGCGAAATAGTCGTGGGGAGTGAATCCTGTGCATCAGAGTTTTTATTTGAAAAGTGTGAAAAAACCCTGACAAGTCAGAGTTCGAGCTCCAGGGCACTCTGAAAATCAGAGTTTGGCCAGGAGTCACTCGTGAAAATCAGAGTGGTGAAAAACCAAAGATAAGCCCTGGTTGGTACCAAAAAAACCTCTGAAAAAACCCTGAATCAGGGAAATTTGCCTGAAATCTGAGGCCCTGTTGTTGGGCGATGGGGATGCGGATGGATCTTGAAGCTGCGTAGAGGCTGCAAGAAGGTGGTCTTGCGCGATAGTGACGTATAGCTCCTTCGCACTGTCGCTGCGCCATCGGCCTAGACGCTTGAAAAGACTGTCAGATATCCCCAGGCTGGCAGCTACGGTCGCGGCGCCCTTGCGGAAAGAGTGGGTGCCGAGATTGGTGGGGCGAGGCTTGCTGCGGCAAAGGCTTCCAGACACCAATTCCGAATGGTTGTGTATGAAGGTGCGGCGTCCCGTGGGGTGGCCTTGCCTCTGGTCGCGAAGACGCGAATCAGAGGCCCGTGTGGGGTGGCGGTGTGGCCTGCAAGGTGAATGAAGCGCTGTGTGCAGCTGACGGGGCAATAGGGTGTGGTTGTGGCGGCAATGGCGACCCAGGTGCCTTTGCCTTCTTGATCCGTCTTGGAGTGTGGGATCAGGACCCACATTGCCTTGTCCTCAAACTGTATGTCATTCCACTGGATGCTGACGAGGTCCGAGTAGTGTAGGAATGCTGCGAACATGAGCAGCGGAATGAGACCCTTCTGGTGTGGCTGGGTTAGTTGATTCGAGGAATGGACGGGCCATAGTATGGACTTGGTGGAGCGACGAGGGTTCCTTATTCCTTGTGGGGCGTGCCCCATGGCGCTTGGCAAATTCGCATACTTGTACCGTGAAAGGGCCGTTTGTGGGGGAGGGTTTGCCAGTCATCCGGTGTGCGAAAGAGATGGCAGAGCATGTGAGGGATATGGCAGAGGCGGTTGCTTGGTGATTGAGCGCGTGAACAAGATAGAGCGCCAGGGTCGTGTCCATGGCTGGCAGATAGCGGAGCTTGAATTGCGCGCAGAATGAGCGAAATTTCTGCTAGTACGGGTCATAGGTCTTGATAGTGGAGGGCGCCCGGACGTGGGTGGTTATGCGCAGTAATTGTGTCTTTAACTTCGATAGCATGCCTGAAAATACACACCATACATGGAGGAGTTATATCTTGTAGGTTACATGCAAGGCAATCATCTAGCTATGAGGCAGGCCTTGGCCGGCGAAAGCGAGAGAGTGTGTGCCAGGGCGGAGACATTGGGTGCCATGGGTGAGTGGGATATGGGCTACTATCTCTGGCGCCCACACACGGGGTGCTAGCTGGAGGAGTGGCCACCATGATGCGCCGGGCCATTCGGGGATGACCAATGTTAGCTCACCACGTATGCGTTGGGCGTGTCGCAGGGTGGCTGGAATGAGGTGGGGCGGGGGAAATGCGAAGCCGAACTCGTGCTGCCAATTGAGTGAGAAAGCATCAATCGCTGTTGCCTCACGATTGGGGATCTTGGAACAGAAACGCTGCAGTTGGGCATTGCGTACGTTGGCAAAAAGATCGATGGAGTGAGGTCCAAGTCGACGATCCAAGTGCCGGAACCAAGGGGTTTGAAGAGAGTAGTCGTCGTAGTCTTGGAATTTCGAGAGCTCATCCGCGTGGGCATTCAATTCTCTCGGAATCCATTCGCCAGCGAGTCGTGTCCGGTTTTCCAAGCACAGTCTGGTGATCGCTTGACATAGCAGCGTGAGTGAGGGGTGGCGTGAGCCGCCCTTACGAAGGATGAACACCACCCCTTGGTTGTCGACGCGAACCAGCACGTGACGCTTGACGAGGTGGGTGGTGAATGTCCGGAGTGCCCAAATGACGCCTTCGAGTTCCCTTCGAGTGCTGGAGGTGGGCACGAGCTCTTTTGGCATGCGATCACTGGCCTCGATGTGCGTGCCAGGCAGTTGAGTGAGGGTGGCACCCTAGCTGTGGGCACTTGCATCAACGTGGATGACAGCGTCGTATTGGTGACTGAGATGGAATGGTGCGCCGTTGAATTGGTCGAAGTGCGAAAGCCAGAAGCGTAGCTCTGTTAATGCGGGCGGAGGTAGTTTGACTTTGTCATGCCAAGACGTGGCGTCGGCGATGAGTCGCAGGAGCTCATGACTGAAGGCTCGTGCTGTGGCGCCCAATGCTAGGGTCATGGAGGCCAACATGCCAGTGTCATGGAGCGGATGGGGACTCGTCGTCCTGCTTGGCCCTGGGCGATGATGTCGGTGAGTGTGGCTAGGAGCTGAGCTCGTCGTTCGTAACCGATGGAGAATTTGCCGCGAACTGCGTCGACCTCTAGGCCGAGGAAGTGGATCAGGCGCGTGGGGTGGAGATGCGATTTTTTCTCGTTGATAACAAAACTAGCCGCCTTTAGGTCTTGGGTAACTGCGGCGCATGCTGAGCGCGCGTGTGTATGAGAGTTGAAAAGGAATAAAAGGTCGTCGACGTACGGGAAGACGCGTAGGCCACTGGCCCTCCACCGCTTTGCCAACTGTTTGATTAGCTGGGTGAAAACGAACGGGGCGGTGGCGAGACCAAACGGCAGCGAGCAGAAGGAGTAGTACGCGCCCTCAAATTGGAAGCCCAAGTACTTCCAGGAGGAGGGGTGCATCTCGACGTGGTGATAGCCGGACTTCAGGTCAATGGAGAACATCCAGTCGCCGGGACGGATGAGTTCGGCTACCAGGTTCAAGCCTTCATACTTGAACTTTGGAATTTCGAGGTGGGCGTTGACTTTGCGAAGGTCGAGAATGAGGCGACATTTGTTACGCTGCTCGACGACGTTCAAAGGACTAACGCAGGTCAGCGTATCTCGCGTGGGGACTGGCACGGCAGAGCCAGTGGCAACAAGTTCTTGAATTGCTTCGCGAGTGAAGTCAAGGTGCGTGTGAACGCCGGCATGGTTCTTGTCGTCGAAGGAGGGCGGGGCTGTGTGCTTCCAGGGCAGCCAATAGCCTTTGGCGATTAAAGATATTATGAAACTGCTATCGCAACACGAGCACCACCAATGCAGGGCCTGGCGCACTCGGCTTCGCATGATCGTGACGTCCTTGTCTGTGACGGCGTATTCGTAGGGGTCGTGTCGGTCGAGTGGCCATCCGTGTTCGGGTCCTACAACGTTTCCGGTCGAGAGGGGAGAGGGCATTGCAATAAGGTGTTGGTGCCAAATCGGGCAGCCCATGATCGTGTATTGCCTACCACATGGCTAGGCCAGCGCCTTATCTTGGGAGGCGCTTCCGCGTGTCCTTCTCGATGTGTGTGATTTCCTCCTCGTGCTCTTTTTCCCTCTCCATCTTACCCCTTCCCTCTCTTTCTCACTCTTTCTCTTACACACACACTCGCTCTCTTCTTCTTTCTCTCTCCCTCTTTCTCTCTCTCTTTCTCACTCTCTCTCTCTCTTACTCTCTCTCTCTCTCTCTCTATCTCTCTTTCTCTCTCTCTCTCTCTCTCTCTCTCTCTCTCTCACTCTCTCTCTCTCTCCCTCACTCTCTCTCTCTCTCTCTCTTTCTCTCTCTCTCTATCTCTCTTTCTCTCTCTCTCTCTCTCTCTCTCTCTCTCTCTCTCTCTCTCTCTCTCTCTCTCTCTCTCTCTCTCTCTCTCTCTCTCTCTCTCTCCCTCCCTCTCTCTCTCTATCTCCCTCCCTCTCTCTCTCTCTCTCTCTCTCTCTCTCTCTCTCTCTCTCTCTCTCTCTCTCTCTTTCTTTCTCTCTCCCTCTTTGTGTTTCTCTCTCTCTCTTTCTCTCTCTCTCTCTCTCTCTCTCCCTCTTTGTGTTTCTCTCTCTCTCTCTCTCTCTATCTCTCTCTCTCTCTCTCTCTCTCTCTCTCTCTCTCTCTCTCTCTCTCTCTCTCTCTCTCTCTCTCTCTCTCTCGCTCCCTCTCTCTCTCTCCTTCTCCATTCTTTCGCGGCTCCTTACTTCTTGCCATCATGATTTTGTGCCATGTCCTTGGTCGGCTTGATCGTGGCCGCCCGTTTTTTTGGGTGGCATACGTGGCATGTTTGTGGGTCCCCGCTACTCCTCTCTTTCGTACTGTCCCTCCTCTTTTTTTGGGTTGCGGAGCAACCTATTGCAATCGATCGGGCTGTTAATTTTTTTTCAAGTTTGTGAAATAAAAATCAAATGTTTGTTGTGATGGAAATAAAACATTTTATGTATAATAAAGTCTCATCATGAAATGCTCCGCAACCCTAAGACGATCTTGTCGCCTCTTGTTTTTTTTTTGTTTTTTTTGTTTTTTTGCCTCCTTACATGCATAGTGGTGGCTGCTTGATGTGTTCTCATGTGGCTTGGCTTTCCAGCCCCCTTGTCAAGCGTACTCGGTTTTTTTTTTTTTTTTTTTTTTTTTTTTTTTTTTTTTTTTTTTTTTTTTTTCCAACTAGAAATCAACTTGCCGTGGCGACACACAAACACAATTACATGGTTCTACCATGGTCCTAGGCACACGGCCTACGCAACCCCTAGGGCAGTTCTAGCCCGCTGGGTTTCGTTGCCTTTCTCGAAGGCTGGCCACCGGCCACGCACCCACCGGTGCGGCCCCATATGCCACTTGCATATGGGCAAAGGGTGCCGCCCTTGAAGAAAAATAAGAGAAACGCTCATATGACCGGTGAGGGGCCTTGCGCGCCACGCCCGCCCATGGGGCAAGCGTTTACCATGTGGCCCGGCTGGCCACAGCGGAAGCATACGTCCTTGAAACGCGGCTGCGAGCATGTGAGGGTCGGAGAGCCCTTGATGTCCATTTCCCCGTCGCGACCACGGGGGGGACCGCCGCGGGTGTAGCCGGTGCGCACACGCTTGAGTGCCGCGACATCAGCGACCGCGAGCTTGAAGGAGCGTGAGGTCAAGACACTCTTGGACTGGTAGAGCTGAAAGCGGTCGGCCGCTTCGAAGCCAGCTTCGTCCGCCACTTGAAGCACCTCGAAACGCTTGTCGATAAGCATCTCGATGTGCTTGACGTTGTTGAGTGCGCCGATGACGTCGTCGTGCTGCAGCTTGTAATCGATGTCCTTGAGGTGTGCTTGGATGGCCGTGAATACCTCTGCCTGATCAATGTTTATCGGAGCCTCACCATCTTCATTGTCGAAGTCGTCGCTGTCTTCGATGTCGATGGCGGGCATCGGGAGCGTCTCTGGGGGCTGGTCGTTGATGCGCGGGGCCTTTGGGGTGCGAGGAGGCATTGCCATCTCTTTTTTCTTGGCCAAGTTAGTCGTAGCAGCATTGATATTGTCGGAAGAAGTGGCGAGCGTAACAGGCGCCTGCTGCTGTAACAGCGCGAAAAGCGCCTTGAGCTGCTGCGCAGTCAAAGCGGGGGCGGCGGCGGGTGGGGCGAGCTCCTCGGCAGGCACGTGCCGAACAAGAGGCACGTGCCGAGCGGCGCGGCTCGGCGTGTGGAGCTCGGCTGACTGCACGCGCGGCTGCTTGGCAGTCGCGCGTGTTTCTTCTTGGGTGGCATGAGTTGCGCCGAGCAGAACATCGACACCCGAGGTCCCCTCGCCAAAATTGTTCTCAGCAGGGCGTTTTTGGCGACGGTCGGTTACCCGGTCCGAAGTTCCGGGATCACCGATATTTGCGGGGGTGTTTGCCTCGCGAGTTGGTGCACAATTGGCGGGAGTCATTGCCGATAGGTTATGCTGCAAAATGTCGGTTAGTAATGTCGATGGTGCCCTGAAGCGTGGAAGTGACTGAGTTTTCGCCAGGTTAGACGAGAACAAAAAACAAGAACTAGGATCTCAAATGAGGGAAACTCAAATGAGTTGAACTAGAAATGAAGAACGTGGGTGAGGCCGAGAGGCCTCACGTTCCTCTTTTGAATGCAAAAGAGGGTTAGGTGCGCTTCGCCGCTGCCTTTGCTGCGTTGGCTCTTGCTACACTATCACAATACACATTTTTAGAAAGCGCTACACGCTTTCAAAAAATTACATCTTCTGAGAGTCGAGGGCGTACGCGTTGTAATCGAGCCCAGTAAGGAAAAGGAAATTCCCTTACACCACCCCCCCTTCCGAGATGAGACTACCCACATCTGGTGTCGAGTGACCCGCTGGGGTTGCCCTTGAGATCCTCGGGGAAGGGCCATAGGTGCAGAGCCTGGGGGGCTATGGGCGCACTGACCCGCTATTAACAAGCCCTTTTAACCCAGTGGTTAGTGACTGTGTTTCTGACATCCGGGACACGTCGTCGGTGTAAATAGTCCCGGACGACTTTGTGTTCGCCGAGCATAGCTGCGGGGACCCAAAGATCATCGTCAGCCGTGCGATCGTACAAGGAAATCAACGGCTGCCGTATCTCGATGCCCTCGTACACGATGAGCGAGAATCTTTGATGGCTCGATCGTCGGCTCAGGTACTGGGTTGACCGTAGGATTGATGTGTTGACGGTCGAGATTAGTCTGTTAAATTATATATTGAGAAAGCTTGCTTTCTTGTCCTTTGCAATAGGCATCGTTCTCATTTCAAGTGGGCTAGGTACAATAGTCGCTTACTAGCTTATAAGAATCTAAACATGCACACATCATGATCCTAGTTGTGCGCTCCATTGGAGATGCGCGGTTGTCCAGAGGGGGGGGTGGGTGCGAAATTTGACTGAGCCGTTTGAAAAATGAGAGACGTGGGTGGAGGTAAATGAGCTCCAACCCACGTATATATAGTTGGAGAAGGGCGAGTAGCTCGTTTCGACGATGCCCAACGCTTCAGTACAATCAGCTTCGCTTTCACAATACACAATTTTTGAAAAACACTGCGTGTGTTAAAAGATTATAACATTGAGAAAGCTTGCTTTCTTGTCCTTTGCAATAGGCATCGTTCTCATTTCAAGTGGGGTCGTTGAAACATGTGCAGTGGGGGCTTGCGGTGGCGGAGAAGTGCCTCGGCGTGTTGTGCAGAGGATGGTGCCGTCTCCGGGTCTTGCAGGCGACGAGACGCGCCAACCAGATGATCGGTCGCAGGCGTGACGTACATCTCTTTCGCGGTTTCACTACGCCAACGGCCCAGGCATTTGAAGATCCTGTCAGGAACCCCGGAGTTGGCAGCAACTGTGGCCGCACCTTTCCGAAAGGAGTGGGTGCCTAGGTGCTCTTCTCCCAAACCGATTTTTGCGAAGGCTTCCTTGCACCAGTTGCGGATTGTGGTGTATGAGGGCGGTCTGGCTGTGCCGTGGCTCGGTAGGTGGGGTCCAAAGACCCGGATGAGCGGTCCCAAGGACTGGGGGCTGTATCCTGCGAGTTGGATGAGCCTCTGGGTGCCCTAGACCGGACAAAAGGGTCCGGGGCTTGCTGCGATAGGGATCCATGTGCCTTGGCCGGCTTGGTCAGTTTTTGAGTGGGGGATGAGTAGCCACATCGCTTCATCTTTAAATTGGATGTCCTGCCATTGGATGGCCACCAGGTCCGAGTAGCGCAGAAAACCGGCGTACATGAGAATCGGGATCAATCCTTTTTGGAACGCGGCTGGGTTGTTTGAATGTAGGAAGGAGGCTGCCATATCGTGGACCTGATGGAGTGAGATTGGCTCTTTAATCCTGTTAGGACGCGGGCAGTGTCGCTTCGCAAAGTCGCGCACTTGGGAGGTGAAAGGGCCGGTGGTTGGGCATGTTGAGCTTGTCATCCTGTAGGGAAAGCTCACGGTGGAGCATGTAAGCTGAACCACCGACAAGGGGCCTTAAGTTGGATGACGTACACCAGGTAGAGCGCGAGGGTCATGTCCGATGCCGGCAAGAACGTTAGGTTGACCTTCGTGCAGAAGGCGCGGAACTTCACCCAGTAAGGCTCATATGTTCGGATGGTCGAGTTGGCACGAGAGCGGGCGAGCATGGAAAGCAGGTCGTGTTGGAGCTTTGGAAGCAGATCTGGGGACATGCAGAGGAGTCTAGTTAGTCAAATATCATGCGGAGTGCGACGATAGTGCTGTTGGGTAATCCTGTGCCTGAGAATGCTTGACTGTGTGTGCCGACTGTAAGACACTGGCTGCCGTGTGTACGAGGGATATGTGCTTGGATGTGTGGGTCCCACGATGGAGGGGAGGGCTGGAGGAGCGGCCACCAGCTTGCGCCAGGCCAGTGTGGGACTATGAGGGTGAGAGATGCACTCGTGCGTTGTGCGTGATGGAGTACTGCGGGGATGAGTTGAGGCGGTGGGAATGCAAAGCTGTTCTCAGCCGTCCAGGCAAGTGAGAAGGGCTGCTGTGGCATCGGGGTGGGGGACCTTAGAGCAGAAACGCGGCAAGTGTGCATTTTGGGGGTTGGCGAATAGGTTAATGGAGTGGGGCCCCCAGCGACGCTCGAGGAGGTGAAACCATGGGAGCTTCAACGAGTAGTCATCATGATCGACTAGCTTGGAGAGCTCGTCTGCTCGACCATTCAGATCGCGTGGGATCCATTTGATGATTAGCCGAATCTCGAACTCCATGCATTTTTGGATGATGTCTTTGCACGTGGTGGTGAGGTCGGGACTTGGGGAACCTCCTTTGCGAAGGATGAAGAACACGCCCTGGTTGTCCACCCGCACTAGCACGTGTTTGTTCCGGATTCTAGGCGCATGCGTCTGTAGCGCCCACAGCACGCCGGCGAGCTCTCTTTGTGTGCTGGAGGTTGGATGAAGGGCTTCGGGCATTGCCGCGTTGGCCTTTGTCGCGGCTCCAGGGAATGTGTTCAGCGTGGCACCCCAGCTGTGGGCACTTGCGTCTACGTGGATGACTGCATCGTAGCTGTGCCACACATGGAACGGGGCACCGTTGAAACGGTCGAACTCTTGGATCTAGAATCTCAGCTCTTCGATGGCGGGTGGGGAGAGGAGGACCATGCTGGTCCATGTCGGCGCGTCGTTGATTAATTCTAGCATGGCGTGGCTGAACGCTCGGGTAGTGGTGCTGAGTGCGACAGCCATCGATGCCAGCATGCCTGTAACTCGGGCCAGTTGCCGGACTGGGACTTTCCGCTGGGCTGAGCTTGCGCGCAGTAGAGCATGGAGGGTGGCATTGAGTGTGGCTCGCCGCTCCTCACCGATGGAGAACCGGCCGGCCTGTGTGTCGAGTTCTACGCCAAGGAACCGAAGGTGCTGTGTTGGTATCAGCTTTGACTTTTTTGAGTTGAGTACGAGCCCGGCAGCCTTGAGATCGATAACAACCCGTTGGCACGTGGCTGGAGCGTGTGCCAGGGTCGGGCACAAGAAGAGGATATCGTCAACGTAGGGTATCACGCGGACCCCCTGCTCCTGCCATCGCCGAGCTAATTGCTTGATGAGCTGCGTGAAGACGAATGGTGCTGTGGCGAGGCCAAACGGCAAGGATCGAAAGGCGTATGTGCGCCCGTCGAATTCAAAGCCGAGGAACGTCCAACACGAGGGATGGATGTCGACATGGTGATAGCCTGATTTCAAATCGATGGAGAACATCCAGTCTCCTTGGCAAGCGAGGTCTGCTACACAGTTGAGTCCCTCATATTTAAATTTGGGGATGATTAGTGCGTCGTTCACCTTTGGAGATCCAGAATCATGGCGACACTTGTCTTTCTGCTCGACCACGTTGAGTGGGCTTATGCGTCTCAGTTTCGCCGCAGGAATTTGGATGGCCGCGCTGGTCTCGGTGAGTTCAAGGATGGCCGTACGCGTGAATGCTTCGTGGATGCGTGCGCCGGCATGGTTGCGATCGTGAAAGGCCGGCGGCGGCCCGAGTTTCCATGGCATCCAGTAACCGCGTATCGTAGCGGTTTTGGCAATGACTGAGAGTATGAAACTGCTAGTGCACCACGAGCTCCACCAAGCAAACGTGGTATGTAAGCGGCCACACATTTGGGTGTCCATCTTGTCAGTAACCGCGTATTCGTAGCGGCCCCGTTCCGTAGTGGCCCCGTCCCCTAGCGGCTCCTCGGCCCCGTCGACCAGCGGCCCCGCGGACCCGTCCCCTAGCGGCCCCTCGGCCCCGTCGACCAGCGGCCCCGCGGCCCCGTCCCCTAGCGGCCCCTCGGCCCCGTCGACCAGCCGCCCTGCGGCCCTGTTCCCTTGCCGTCCCGTCCCCTAGTGGCCCCGTCCTTTAGCGGCCTAGTGGCCACGTCCCCTAGCAGCCCCTCGGCCCCGTTGACCAGCCGCCCCGCGGCCCCGTTCCCTAGTGGCCCCGTCCCCTAGCGGCCCCTCGGCCCCGTCGACCAGCGGCCCCGCGGCCCCGTCCCCTAGCGGCCCCGCGGCCCCGTCGACCAGCCCCCCCACTCCGCCCCCGTCCGTCACCGGCCCCCGCGCCCGTCCGTCACCAGCCACGCGCCCATCCGTTTGCTGGCCCCGTGCCCGCCCCGTCCCCGGCCCGCGCGACTGCGCTGCATCCGACTACGCTGCACCGCACTGTACCGCACTGCACCGCACTGTACCGTACTGCACCGCACTGCACTGCACTGTACTGCACTGCATCCACTGCACCGCAGCTGCTGTTGGGGTGTTGGGGTGGGTACTCGTCCTGGGGTTCCTGTTGTGGCTTGTCCTGGCGGGCTTGGGGGTGGTACCGGTGCTCGAGGGGTTTTGGGCTCTGGGGGTGTTCCTTTTGGGGGTGCTAGAGTGGAGTGTTCCGGAGGTAGCCGTGGAGCAGCTTGCGGTCCCGGAGTCGGTGCCGTGCCGCCGCAGCAGCAGTCACCGCCGGTGTCAGCCCTTCGCCTGCTCGGACTTCCGTCCCTTGACCCGGCGTCTGCGTCGCGCCTGTCGTCTCCTCCTCTCCCTGTCTACGGCCCTGTGTTCCCTCCCCCGGACTCGACTCCGGCTCGTCTTCCCCATCGTTCCCCTCCTGTGTCCCCTCCTCTGTCTCCTGAAAAGACTCCTCCGTCTCACGTCTGGTCTCGCCGTCTCTCCCGTGCTCGCCCCGTCTCCCCTCTCCCGCGCTCTCACCCTATGTTGCTTTGTTCCCACGCGTCTCGTCCTACCCTCCTATCGTCGCCTCCTCCATCCTCCCTTATTGTTGCGGCCCCCCCTCTGTCTCACTACCTTTGCGCCGCTCGTCCGCTTGTTCCTCGGGTCCTTGCCTCTCTCGTTACCGACCCGTCTGTTCCGGTCTCGTGTCTTGACGCTCTTGTCGTTGCGGTAGCTGACTTTGCCTCTACCCACCGCCTTGACTACGCCACCGCTCTGGTCTCTGACCCTGCCTGTCCTCCGTTTGTCGGGGGTGCTCCTGCCCTCGTCAGTGACGTCCTGGAGGACAGCCAGTACGAGCTTGCTTTCCTGTCCGAGGCTGCTCCCCATCTCTGTTCCATGCTGTTAGTCCCTAAGGGTGACCCAGACGCTTTCGACATCCCGACCCCTCGCACTTACGTTGAGGCCACCTCGGGACCTTGGGCCTCTCAGTGGATAGCTGTCATGGAGCAGGAGATGGAATCTTGGAGATCCACCGGCACCTACGTCGACGCAGTTCCCCCACCTGGGGTGAACGTAGTCGATGACCGCTGGCTCTTCAAGGTGAGGCGCCCTCCTGGAGAGTCGCCTATGTTCAAGGCGCGCTACGTGGCTAGAGGCTTCGGTCAGCGTGAGGGGGTGGACTTCTTTCAGAATTTCGCCCCGACCTCGAAGATGACTACTCTTCGGGCACTTCTATACGTAGCTGCACAGTGCGACTACGAGTTACACTCGTTCGAATTCTCCACTGCGTTTCTTCAGGGCAGTCTACACGAACAGGTCTACCTGCGCCGACCTCAGGGTTTCATTGGTACCTTCCCTCCTGGGACTCAGTGGCTCCTACGGCGCCCTACATACGGCTTGCGCCAGGCGCCCCGCGAGTGGCATGACACGCTGCGTGCTACCCTTGCTGACCTGCAGTTCTCTGCGTCCTCCGTAGACCCCTTGCTCTTTGTTCGTTCTGGCCAGACTTCATTCTATATCCTTGTTTACGTAGACGATCTGGTCTTTGCCACTGCAGACACCACCGTGCTGGCCTTTGTGAAGGCTGAGCTGCTGAGGAGACACACCTGCACTGACCTAGGAGAGCTGCGCCACTACCTGGGCCTGCAGATCTCCAGAGACAGAGCAGCGCGCACCATCACTCTCACCCAGTCACACTTGGTGCGGCAGGTCCTTTAGAGGTTCGGTCTTCAATTCTCCTCCGCACAGCCCACACCTCTTCCAGTAGATCACATGCTCTCTGCTCCAGTCCCTGAGGAGTCAGCAGAGCCCAGTGGTCCTTACGCAGAGCTGGTGGGTTGCCTCATGTACCTGATGACTTGCACTCGTCCAGATCTGGCATACCCTTTCAGAATCCTGGCTCGGTTTGTGGCCACAGGCAGACACATACCTCAGCACTGGTCTGCAACTAAGAGGGTTTTGCGTTATCTCGCGAGTACATCAGGCTTGGGGTTAGTGCTGGGAGGACGCAGGCTAGTGGTCCTTACTGGACACACAGACGCTTCTTGGGCAGACGACGCCGAGACCCTTAGGTCCTCATAGGGCTACTGCTTTAATCTTGGCTCAGGTGCTGTCTCGTGGAGAGCTACTCGCTCTTCGTTTATTGCGCAGTCTAGGTGTGAGGCCGAGATCTACGCCGGTGCCATGGCGGCACAGGAGCTCCGCTGGCTGACCTTCTTGCTCACTGACTTAGGTGAGCGGCCTAGCTCTGCCCCAGTCCTGTACGCTGACAACAGGGCCATGATCCTTCTGTGTCAGGAGCCTCGACTTGAGGGCAGAGCGAAGCATATCCAGCTGCGGTACTTCCTCCTGTGCGAGCTGCAGCAGCGTTGCCAGGCTCGTGTAGTACACTTGGCCTCCGGTGCCAACACAGCTGATAGCTTTACAAAGGCGCTTGCGCCTAAAGATCATCAGCGGCACTCTGTACAGCTTGGTCTGGTTCCTGTTGCCTCGCACTTGCTAGGACCTTGACTGTGTACATACATTATATATATGTATTACCCAGACTGGCCTTGTGGCCTCTTCCAGTGGCTGGACTATATGTAGTGCCCCCCTGGTCTTGCTCTTGTCTTGTCTGTACTCCTTTTGACTGGTCTTTAGACCCTTGCCTCAGAGGCTGGACTAGTAGTGCCACCCTGAGCTGCTTGTTCTCTTGTTAGGCATTGCCCCTATATAGTCTACTGGGTGTGTCAAACATAATTTAGTTTGTTACTATAGACTATACAGGTTTGTACCTTAGAGGCTACAACACACTAGTCTATATTGCCTTGTACCCTCCTATTCTAGTCATTCTTCCATACGAACATATCGAACCTGGCATGCGATGGTGTTTCCGGTTTGCGAAAGATCGTGCGCCCTCCGCGTTTGGGCTCCAAGCACGTTTCTTATTCATCCCTATCTTGCCGCAGCGTTCTTTTTCAGTTATGCTTTCGTTTCTCGACACAAAACCCGTCACGATGCTCGGGCTCTCTAGCAGAGCCTCGGACACTAGTCCCTCGACTAGTAATCTCCCTTTCAGGTGCTGCCATGGCAGCGCGTACGTTTAGCGGCCTCTCTGTATTGCGCACCCATCGTCCTCCCTCCAGCAATCAGTTCCTACTCCGTCCATTCTTGTCGATTCCCCCGGCACCACCTGCACCACCTGCTCCTCCCGCTCCACCTGCGCCACCTGCACCTCCTACACCTCCCTCGCCTCCCGCGCCCCCCGCTCCCTCATCCATGTCCATATCAAATATCCTAACACCACGGCGGAGCAGACTTTGTCAGTCGAGAAGGTCCGGCACGGGGACGAAGCGGAGACGAAACAGGTCGTCCAGGCGACTGAAACAACGACTAGGGGTATGACCGATCTTACCGCACACGAGGCCGCGGCGAGGACCGGTCTGGAGCTGGTACTGGCAGCGCTCGTCACTCACACCACCACTCGACGACAAGCTACGCGCACGACCACCGCGACCACCACCACCACCACCAACGCCAGGCCACCCAGGCGGGAGGCAGCCAACCCTCCGTTGCAACTGCTGCTGCTGCTGCGGCTGGTCAAGCTGTGGCGCATGCTACTTTTTCTCGCTGGGGCTGCTGCTCCGAGGCACCAGCCCCAGCCCCCTCGTCGGTAATACCACCAGCGGATGAACCACCTCCACCACCACCTCCACCCCCTCCTCCACTACCACCGCCGCGCCCAGCCTTGAAGTAGCGGGCCTTACCATAATGGGAATGCGCTGTGGCCACCGCGGCAGCGGTCTTAGCAGCAGGGGCTGTCTGAGCGATAGCCGCAGAACCGTTAGAGTAAGTGCACTGAGGGAGGGCACAACCTTGAATGATAGGGACCGGCGCAGTACCGCTAGACTGGGCGATAGAGCGCTGACGGGTCTCTATGGCAGATAGGGTGTCGACAAAGTCAGAGAGGGTGAGGTCAGTGGGGTGCAGACTAAGAAATGGTCGCGGGCAGTGGCAAGGCGATCAGGGAGGCGGGTGGCAAGCAGGTATAGGGTAGAGCAGATAGGGGGCTGGAACACACAAAGCTGGGTCTCAGTGTAGGCAGCGCGCTAGCTAGCGTCGAGCGTGCGCAGGTGCATGGCCAGGTCAGCGACAGTGGGGAAAGAGGCGAGATCAGGGAAGAGCATGGGAAGGATCAGGCGGCCGGCAAAGGCAGAGGACGGGGTGGAATAGCGCTCGACAATAGCCTTTAGAAACTCCTGTGCAGTCCTGACCGACTTAAAGTCGGGGCACTCAAACAGTGGGAGGGCATGGATAATCGCGAGCTGAGCGACAGCGTTATGCGACAGCCAGACAGCACGGGCAAGGGCAGCAGCGGCGGCGGACTCACAGTCAACAGACGTGGGGTCAGCGGGGATAGCAACAAGGGGGTTAAGGCAGGGGAGCTTACCGTCAATTTGGACAGCCAGGGAGTGGCCGTCCTGTCGCTGACCAGTGAGGTGACGGTGGAGGTCGACGAGCCATGAGTCGATCTCAACTGGCTGACCCTCCGCGTCAAAGCGCAGCACAGATTCCGCCATGAAGGCCGCTGCAGCCGCGAACAGGCGGTGAAGGAGTGACGAGGAGTAGTGGGGAGGAGTGCTGTACGATGCAGTGCGGTGGGGCGTTGTGCAGTGCAGTGTCACATGATGCAGAGCGGTGCAGTGCAGTGGGGTGCGGTGCAGTGTGGTGCTGAGCGGTGCAGCACGGTGGGGCGCGGTGCAGGATGGTGGAGAGGGCCGGTGAAGCGGGCGGGGACCGGGAAACACGGCGGCAGCGCCGCTGGGAGACGGGGCCGCTGGGCGGCCGGGCGACGGGGCCGTGGGGCGGCTGGGCGACGGGGCCGCGGAGCAGCGGGGCGACGGGTCGAGGGGCGGCTGAGCGACGGGGCCGCGGAGCCGCTGGGAGATGGGGCTGCGAGGTGGCTGGGCTATGGGGTCACGTAGCGGCTAGGAAACAGGGCGTCTAGGCAACGGGGCAGCTAGGCCGCGGGGCGGCTAGGCGACAGGGCGGCAGGGCGTCTACGCTAGGGGCAACGCGGCTGCAGGGCCAGCAGGGCAGCTAGGCGCTGGGCGACGGGGCGACAGGGCCACGGGCGGCTGGGCGCTAGGTGACGGGGCCGTGGGGCGAGCGGGGTGGCTAGGCGCTAGGTGGCGGGGCAACGGGGCCGCGGGCGCCTAGGCGCTAGGTGACGGGGCCGCAAGGCCAGCGGGCGGCTAGGAGCTAGGTGACGGGGCCGCGGGGGCCACGGGCGGCTAGGCGCTAGGGAACGGGGCAGTGCGGCCAGCAAGGCGGCGGGGCAGCGGGGCCCGTGGGGCGGCTAGGCGCTAGGCGACGAGGCAGGCTAGGACCTAAGGCGGAAGCGCGGGTGGGCGGGGGGGACCTAACCTACTCATGATACCATCTCAGAGTTAGAAGTGTTGACTAGAATGAGAGTATGCAGGGGTATATAGCTAGTGGGTTGTACTCTCTATGGCAAGCCCCTATGTAGTCTACTAAACATACACAAATATGTTTGACAAAGGGGTCCTTGAATAGCGGCAACAGGAATCCAAGAGCCTTAACCTGCCTGGTCCGTTTTGGAGCGCGGGATGAGCAGTC